TCTCTTCCTTAACACTCGCTGAAAATGCCTTTCAGTTATTTAGCTAAACATATAGAAGTTAGCATTGTATTGTTTCAGAACCATTGTCTTCCTAAATAAGCAATGGTGAACGGAAAAGACCATTCAGTCCTCCAGTAATGGTACCAACGTTCATACTCTGGTGTCCATCTTCAAAGTCCATTGAAGAAGCATCAAGATAACGATGAATAATTTAAAAGAAAAGAAATGATAGAGAGAATAACGAATTCAGGAGGTTAAAATAGGTAGAGGTATCGTCATTTCAACTTGGAGCTACTGCGATAAATTAGAAAAGATCCAACTCAATTCATAAGACATTTGGTACGTGAGAGAGGAGTTTCAACTTTGAAAATCAAAACAGTGAAAATAGACTTTAAATGAAATCGTACGTGAAACATGTGAGGCAACTTTTTATTCCAGGACAAAAAGGTAGAATGTTAGAGAGTGCGAAGATCATCTTGAATAAGTTGAAAAGTGACACTGAAGTTATATATATATATATATATATATATATATATATATATGAACTTCCAATCCCTCATGATCTTCGATCCTTAGTTATGACTAATTAGTGATGAACGTATCATTTACATTTATGATCGATTTCATCACGATTCTTCTGTTAATGTTGAAGAGTAATTATACATTCTTATTGTTTAAACTAGAGGCGAATAATGCTACAAAAATCCTCGTAAAATTCCAATAAGATATATTTAATAATTTGTAATATACAAAGTTTCAAATATTGATTTAACAATTGAAAAGTTTTGCTGTTACATGATTTGGATAATTTTGCTGTTACAACATATATATATATATATATATATATATATATATATATATATATATATATGAATAATTTCTCAGAGTTAACCTGTACAAAAGATATGTATAAAGGTAAAAGGCAATAAGGAAACTCTAATATTAATCGGGGCGTTTCGTCCAATGTGGACATAGGCAAAATCGAAATGAATTTATTGAAAACAAAGTAATTATTCACAACAAACAAAATGTCCTTAGCAACTAGAAAAAATTTGAAAAAGCTATTGTATTCATATTGTCAACTGAAAATTACACCAAGTACTATTACGTGTAGTAATATTGATTTTAATGTTGTGTTTACGGATTCAAATATTTTCTTTTGATTTCTTGGTATAGTTGTGTACGTTGGCTTGCGAGAGTATTAATTCTGTTAGGAAAGATGATATTGGGAAGAAACTATACATTTAGACATTTGAATTATTTAGCGTGTTCATGAATTTACTTAAACTATCATATCTGTAAAAGCGGGGAGAGGTATGACCAATCAAGAAATGTATATATTTACGAAACCAGCTATAAGTTAGCTATAAAAAGAAGAGTTTTGAATTCGAACACCTTTAACTGATATCATTGTGTAAGCCGTTAGACACGGCATCACTTCTCGCATTCCAACTTTATAAGAACGTGAGGAACTTCTGCCCCCCCCCACTTCGCTGAGACTTCATTTATAGAATTACCAGATGAAATTGCATCATACAAGATAAATTAATTTTGTTGAATGACTTTCGGTTTCATTAAGGTTTGTTATTTCTTTATTTTACTCATTTTTTTGTTTCTTTTAGTTTTGTCGATCAGAAACCTAACGGGCGACACTGCACTCCTCAGCATTCGCGTAAAAGTCCCAATTTAACGGAGTCGCTCCCCGCTAAATAAGCCCGTTAGAAACTCCGCTCATGCAAATTAGAGGTTGAGAATGTAAAAAGAAAAGTAATAACGATGAGTTCATAATGTAATTACTGGAACCAGATTCAAAATTGAAATCATCCAAGGTTCTGCTCGATATCCACAAACAAAAGCAATAAAAATGGAGAGAAATAATTAACTTAAAAGGAAACTTAAAAAGAAATAAATAAAAAAGGGAGTGAAAACTTGGTTCTTCCTTAAACGATAAACGAATATCTGTTTCTTCGACATATGTGCATTGACTGCAATATGTAAATCTTTGTTCATACATATATATATATATATATATATATATATATATATTATGGAATATCCCGTCGGTTTCGATGTATGGGGCTCTGTCAAATTAAACACACACACACACACACACACATATATATATATATATATATATATATATATATATATATATATATATTATTTTATATGCGCAGTACATATTGGAAAATACTCAATATGAGTGATAGAGTTGTATGGATATGAGTTTGTGACCCTGGGTTTCACACATTTGCGATCATCTGAAATTCATCCGATAGTCGTAAATGCATGAAAACCAGGCTCAGAACCATACAACTGAATATATATATATATATATATATATATATATATATATATATATATATATATATATATGTTATAAAATCATTACAAAAAATAGCCATTTTGTTTCAACACTTCTGGTGACTTATCATGATGATGATGAATCTATTTACTGGGACTATAAAAGGACACTATACGCGATTACCAACACCATCACTTGAAAAGTCACCAGAAGTGTTGAAACAAAATGGCTATTTGGTAGTGATTTTATCACATATTTATTTTATAATTTTCGAATAAATAATTATATATATATATATATATATATATATATATATATATATAATCTTTCACACGCTATAACCTCTATGACAGTTCTAATTACCAATCTTCCAATCAACAAGCTCGTAATCTATTACGCCATAGTGTGCAGCATTTCTGTTAAACTTATTTCTGTTCAGGAACACATCCATGAAAAGGCACCCAGTGAAGATCAAATCATTAATACTGGTAAATAAATCGTTATCCATTACTCCCATGTTTTTACGAACCTTTGCTTAATAATAAAACAATGCCACAATTATGGGACAATAATGAGGATCGATGTCACTACTAATGGTAAACCAAATGCGTTCATTAACTGTTACCCTATTTTGAGAAACCCAGATAGATAAACGATGGCGTTGAGCAATACGAATTCTAGAATGACGAAAACAATTAGTGTAAGATAAGTGGCATAGATATAATTTAGTATAGGGTTGCATTAAAATAAGAAATGACACAGGAGAAATGAAATAAATCAAAAGTTTGATGAAGAAGGTCTGGATGTAATGGGAATCATATTGGAGCGATTAATGTAAAGAGAAAAAGAAAAAAAAATATTGGATAGAATCCTGAAGAACGAATGTAAAATTTAAAAATTTCTCGGAAAAATAATGAAGGTTATGAAATATAAGTTAAGAAATGATTGAATTATGAAAATAATGGAGAATGGGACATATAAAGACACAGATACCAATGAAGAATGAATGAAAAATTTAAAAGATAGCAAATGAAGAATTTATATTTTAAATGATCATTCGGTTTACAAATAAATCAAATGAGAAGAAAAAAAACACATGCATAATTATATAGTTATCTTATATTGCAAAAAAAATAAAATAAATAAAACTTGTGAACAACATAAGATTCGCAGATGACACAGTACTAATAGCAAACACTGAAAAGAAATTACAAAACCTCCTACAGAAAGTAGAGAAGGAGAGCTAGAAGAAGGGACTAAGCACAAACTACAAGAAGACAAAATGGATGGCCACCAGTAAGAAGATGAGCCCGAAATGCGACTTAAGGTCGGGCACACTGAAAACAAACAGTTGCGGAAATTTAAGTATCTGGGATGTGTTCAGATAGAGGACGGTAAGTGTGACGCTGAGATCCGAAGACGTATTGGAATGGTCGAAGACGTATTGGAATGGTCGAAGACGTATTGGAATGGTCGAAGACGTATTGGAATGGTCAAAGACGCATTGCAAAAGATGGACAGAGTATTTTGAGACAGGAGAATTTATTTGTTATTAATGAAAAATGTACTAAGCTGTTACGTGACATCTGTTCTCCTTTACGTCAGCGAATGTTGGACGTTCTCCTCAAGGATGAAGAAAAGACACGAGGCAACGGAGGTATGGTTCTACAGAAGGATGCAAAGGATATCATGGATCGAGCGAGTGAACAAAGATGAGGAAAGGAAAGAAAGAAGAAGAGAGGGAAGGAAGTAAGAAAGGAAAGAAGGAGAGAGGGAGGGAAGGAAGTAAAGAAGTAGGGAATGAAGTAAGGAAAGAGGGAAGGAAGGAAGGAATGAGGGAAGGAAGGACGAAGGAAAGGAAGGAAGGAAAGAATGAAGGACGTAAGGAAGGAAGGATGGAAGGAAGTAAGTAGGGAAAGAAGTAAGTAAGAAAGGAAGGAATGATGGAAGAAATAAAAGAAGGAAAAAGGGAAGGAAGGAAGAAAGGAAAGAATGAAGGACGTAAAGACGTAAGGAAGGAAGGATGGAAAGAAGTAAGGAAGGAGGTAAGGAAGGAAGGAAAGATCGAAGGAAGGTATTAAGTAAGTAAGTATGTAAGGAAGGAAGGAAGGAAAGAGGAAAGGAAATAAGTAGGGAAGGAAGGAATGAGGGAAGGGAGGAAGAAGGGAATGAAGGAAGAAGAGAAGGAAGGAATGAATTAAAGACGGAGGGGGGAAGGAAGTAAGGAAGGAAAGAGGGAAGGAAGGAATTAAGTAGGAAAGGAAGGAAAGAAGGGAGGAAGAAAGGAAAAAATGGGACAGAAATATCAATAGGAAAGGGATTTAAGTGCGATAGTCAGAATGAAGCAAGAAAGAAATAAAGAATCATTACAAGAAAAGAAGAAAATAAATTCGGGCCTAAATAGGAAATGGTGAATAGAAGAAACATAAAACCAAAAAAATCAGAATTAATACAGAAGAAAGAAAAAAAGACAGATAATGTTACGCGGACAGGGTTAAAGAGATATATCACTGACATGGACAGGTTTATAAATTAGATCAGATGTTAAAGAAAATAGAATGAAATGTAGCTAAAATTCAATTTAAATTGAATGACGTAAGCACGCATTTTAGTTACTTATTCAGGTTATCACAGACCAGCACAGAGAATTTATTCTATTAAAAATACTCTTTCAAACCTAACTGTAACCATCGATCTATGGTATATAAGATCTTGGCACAATGGCATCCATTGTAATAAGCCTAAAGGGCAGAAAGAGAGAAGGAAGGAAAGAAGGAGAGAAGTAAAGATAAGAAGACGAGAAAATAATGAGGACGTTAGCTGGTGAAACAAATATCATGAGGAAGATGAAGATATTACAGAAGAAAAAAAAAATTAACAAGACGGAAATATAATGGAGGGGATGAAATGATGAGAGAGTAATCCAAGGAAGAGGGAAAAAAAATGAAGATGGAAGTAGGAAATTAAAAAGAAAAGAAATAAACGTAACTGAAAGTGGAGGAAAAAGAAGAAAAAGTTTAAGATGCAAAGAATTAATAAAAGATAAATATCCCAAAGGAAAAAAAAATAAAACAATTAAGTGGAAAGGAGACTTTACAGTGAAATGGAAAAGAAATATCGAGGGAAGGAATAAAGACAGGAATTAAAAAAAAAAAAAAAAAAAAATGAAAAAGAAAATAATGGAAGATAAAAAAAGACAGTTAAGAACGTGGAAGGAGAGACAGAAAAAAGGGGAGAATGAATAGAAAGAAAGGAAATAATGTAGGCAGAAAAGAGAAAAAAAATAAGGAAAAATTAGAAAGAAATAAGAAATAGTTGAATAAAGAGAGCAAATGAGAGGAAAAAATAAGGATATACGCAAGTAAAGAAAAAAGAGAGGGGAAGATTCATAGCGACAAGAACTGAAGAAGAATTATATAACACAAAAAAATATCATTGCAAAAACGAAACAGCTGCTTTCCCTAATTTTTGCCATTACTGCATTCGAATAATAATGAAGAAGAAAATTCAATTTATATCATCAATTTCTAATTTTCTCCCGTTTAATTAACTCTTACTACAAGGTCACAATGCCTCGACAATATGTCCCTGTCACTCACACACCTCACATGACAAAAACACCATACAAGAAATATACAAAAATAAAACAAAAAAAAAAACAAAGATCAATCGAAAAATATAGCTTGACGAAGGTTGGAGATAAAAGTGTCGAAGGGGCTTTCCATTTTTTTTATTTTAACTTTCTTTTTATTACGTTTTCATTATTAACGTAAAGAATATCTTAAAAAATATTCAAAGTTAACACGATTCAATTTTTATTTCATTAAAATTCACGCTGTCCAATGATTGTACCGTACTTGGCAAGCCGACTCTTGCTACATGACAGGATAACTTTAAATTAATTAAAATGTTAAAACTGAAAATGTTTCTAATAATGCATACGTTCTTTTTCTCCACCTAGAAAACCTTTTGTGTAGAAGGGTTTAAAATATGTTGTCGCTGCTTTAGAAATATTTTCTTGAGCTTAAGTAAAATGAATTGATTCGATCAAATGATTTGCAGTAATGCTGAAATAAAGAAAAACAGATAAATATAATGAGACAAACTTCTCTAAAGTGTCGACTCGTAGAGGCAGGTTTCCAAGGATAAAGCATACGAGATCAAATCAAGTTGGCAGATTATTCGTACATCATATTTAATATAGGTACCTAGACGAGATCGCTAAAAAAGAGCATAGCATGATGAAAAAGACGCCAAACTTGACGAAAACAAAATGTTATCGTCTAAATCCTTATGTTATTATTAAGAGGAAAGATCAAAGTATTTTGGGGGTATTTTTTTTACATTTTTGAATCGTTCCTGACACGTCCGAAATTTTCGTTGAGTCAGCAAAACTGACCATTTTTTCCATTTTATAAATCTCACTTTGAAATTTTTTAAATATCAATTATCATTTTTTCAAAGTTATTTTAAGAGAATCAGAAATTAAAATGTTTATTTAAAATATTTTGAACCAAGCTTAACTTAGCTTCTGCACCGAAAAGATGTAAGCTGAAAATAAAACAAAGCAGGTCATAAACTTTTGCGTCACTTGACAGGTGATGTATGACATATTGACCGATTCCGTGAGGATAATTTGTTCTACGGAAGGAGAAAAGTCAAATAATTTACATTTGAGTGATCAAATTATTTACTTCGTTATTTTTAAGGAAAACTTTCTCTATTTTTTTTTTTTTTGTACTTAGCATTCACCTTTAGTTTACGATGCTTTATGGAAAATATATTATAAAGAAAGTAAAATAAGACTGTTAAGAGTGAGATTAAATTTCATATTTCATAAGAAAGGTATCTAATTAATTTATAGGTACCTTTCTTATAAAATTTTATCAGAAGTGTAGATAAAATACTATAATTTTATGTACATTTATTACGTTTTACTGTGTTATTTGTATTTCCATTCATTTTATTATTAATTTTGATATTTCATTTATGGAAAAATGTCATAACTGAGATTAATATAAAAATAAGATCATATAAATTTCATAAGATGATACTGATACTTATAGGTACCATTCTCAGTTGAAATTGAAAAATCAAATTAACTTCTCCATACGTGTTTCGCAAAATTAAAGGCCTTAACAGCGGAGACCAATGCTTAACAAAAATAACGCAACTTAATTGTATTCTGGTTGGTCTTCCGTACTTTATAATTACAGCCCGATTATAAACACAAAATTACATTTCTTAATTACTGCGTATCTTCTGATTAGTCAAAATTATAAAATTTACAACACGCTGAAAAAAGATCTATGGAGATCTTAGGAAACTCAATGCGGCTTTTAACTTATTTTATAATATTTTAACATCTTAAATGTAAAAAATCGATTATAATTAAGAAATAACAAATAATTGTATTAAAAATTCATTTTTCATTGAAAAAAATTTTACTTTCAGAAAATATTGTCCATTTTCACAAACACCATTAAAAGCAAATAAAAGCATTTGAAATTATATAACATCTTTGTTTTATTGAGTTTTGTATGTTACAATTCAGAGCTGATTTTTAGGTAGGGGGTCCAATTAAAACCAAAAGAGAAACATGATTTGCGTTCCTCAAAGCACTATTGTAATCACTAAACCCGATGCGATCGAATTGCTACCGTTTTCATAAAATTAGTTATATGGGGGGTTAATAAATATAAAAATTACTTCTACCATGATTTTCATAAAAAAAGGCATATTTGTAATAATTTCGATCATCTGTGAATAGTTCCTGAAAGTTTCATTAATATCCCATAATTATTTTTATATTTGCAATATTTTCAAAAATAATGTGTGTCATACCAAAAAAAAAACGTGCTAAAATTATCTGTTATTTTACTAGTTAGGGTGGTACAAAGAGAAACAAGATATTCTTAATCAAAATTTAGAATGTTCTATAAAGAAGGAATTTTTTTTAAATAATAAAAAAATAACTTTGGCCTTTCCTCTTAATAATAACACAAGCATTTAGATGATAAAATTTTATTTTCGGTAAGGTTGGCGTCTTTTTCATCAAGCTATGCTCTTTTTTAGCGATTTCGTGGAGATACTTAATAATTTTAATGTGTGCAGAAACAGGCGCTAATGTTACAGTATTGAACGATGTTGCCTGTTATTTATGAAGGGATACCACTGTTAAGTGTTTGAAATTAATTTGTAACGGTTTCGTAAATGTTTTCCATATGTTAGTAAATTTTATAAGCTATCTTTAAAAAGTTTAAATTAACATTAGACCAAGCTACGAAATGTGGCTGGGGTCATTACCCGGCGCCTGAGGAAGTGTTGAGGGGTCATGTGCAAATTTCCCTTGGTATTGTCGGTAAACTTTCATTAAACAGTTCTTTTTATCATATTCAGTTGCAACGAGGGAGCACTGATAAATACCCATATTTCAGTCTTACACGAAGCCATAATCGTGATGTACATTCATGAGGAATATATTCATGATAAAAGAATTGATATCTGATAGTATATTGCAAAAGACAGTTCGATGGAATTTTAAAAAAAACGACCATGTATCACATTCGGTTACCAAGTGCATACACTAATAATTATCGATATTTCAATCAAATCCGACGCCACACTCAGGAGAAATATAGTTACGTCAAAAGAATTGTTATCTCAGCGTATACGACAGAAGACTATCTGATGGATATATATATATATATATATATATATATATATATATATATATATATATATATATATATATATATTAAAGACATTTTGTTTAACATTCTTTTATAGATACAAGTATTTAAGTAAATGCTCTGTTTATAATAAATAGTATTGAATAACACTTCGGCCTGAATGTCGAGAGATTTTATAGAAAATATTCGTCCTTTGACAGGATTCGAATCCTGTCTAAGGACGAATATGAAAATTTCTCGGACATTCAGGTCGGTAAATGTTATTTAATACTGTAGCATTTACTTAAATACTTGTATCTATAAAAAAAGAATGTTAAACATAAAAATGTCTTTAATAAATTGACGGACTTTTGTCTAATTTCATATATATATATATATATATATATATATATATATATATATATATATATATATATATATATATATATATATATATCAGTGTATGTGAGACTATCTCCAAACACACAGAGTTATATATTTATATTTCAATCAGTTATGTCAGTTTTGTGTCAGGTGATCATGTATCTTTCAATATAAGACTGACAAAGCATATTTTTTCCCAGTAGTAATTTGCCATTTTTTCTGCGTTAGACAAGTTGCCATTCAACCCGCTATCTTGCTATTTACCCGTAGCTGGTGGGAGAACAATTGGATTCATACCTTTCCCATTAACACGTAAGTGAATGTAATGGATTCGACTGGAATTCGAACTCAATCCGAGCCGCTATACATCACCGAGCCTCCTACGTGCATTTGTTTAAATGTTTAAATCTAATTCATACAGATGTGTTTTACTATAAAGATGAGTACATATTTTAGACAATCACTTTCATTTAATCAGAATTCCTGCAGCTGCGTAAAACGAATTTTATCTTTCCTAAACACTCTTTGTTGTTTGCGAAAAACCGTAAAGTGCTTTTGTTGGAATGTTTTTTATTGTTTGTTCACCTAATATAAATCCCAAAGGTCACCCAAGTTAGAGTGTCACTGAGTGTAATTGTAAAGGAGTCGGGCGCAAGAGAGTATTATGAGAACGAGAAGGATAGATATCGGTTGACCCTGGACATAAAGAAACCAAAAATTGTATTTTTCAGGGAAGTATTTTCCCGGGAGCTTATCCGATAAAATTATACTTTTGGAAAAGAAGCGCTGTGAGGGGAACTTGCTTCTTATCAACTAAAGACGACGGTAACGGTAATGATTTGTTACTGTGAGCATGGTATGTCGGGTCTGAGCTGATGTGATTAAGGAATGTAACTCGAGAGCGATACAGTGGTGAAAAGAAAGGAACGTTTTGTTTGTTTGAATAAAATCTGCAGGGTAGAGAATTTCATCACCCACCCGTGTAAAGACTTTTGAATTTCGTCGACGCTGGACAGGGAAGACTGAGCGGGACCTGCCCAGATACGGTAGCAATACTCAATTCTTATCAATTCTGATCTGACTCTTGTCCAGATAGATGAAGAAAGTATATATTGGATATTTTCTGGCCCAACCATTCTGTTCAATGGCACGAATATACGTGTTTCATTTGAGGCGGAAGTAAACTTAGAACCCAGTAGAATTTCGGAGGAAGGAGGCCTCTTTCTGGGTATAACCACTTAGCAGATATGGTGCAGGTTTGGGGTCTGCTTGGTTGTGATCAAATGTTAAGAGTTTAGTTTCGGATGTATTGAATGATATTAGCTAATCTTTTTTGCCTCTGAGCT